GTGTTGATGTAAAATGAGGAAGATCATCTTAGCAAGGGTGCGCTGCTTCTTTACCAGTCAGAAGCTATGTGGGTCGCGGATTTTCCGAGATTTACATGCAAAAATACATTTTAAAAATATTAAAATTAGTTTTTTTTTTCTTCAACTAGCAAAAACGTTGCACCAAAACATATGTTGTTCACCTGTTTAACATTCATTCATCGGTGAATGAAGCATTAACATCACATCGCCACTCATTTTTGTAATATTATTACACTTGTGACTTTTTTTGTACTTTATTTTTGGGATTATCACTTGTTTTTGATACGTTGCTATTTCCATTGTATCATTTTTTATGCCATTATCACTCAATTCCCGTGAAATTATCACTAATTTTTGTAACATTTTGAGCCAGCAATGTTTGTTTCATTTTTTTTAATCCAGCCATTGATTTGTGTTTAAATTGCTGTGTATTTCACTGGGGTGATTTTTCCTCGAACTTGCATATTAGTTAAGAAATATCCGTTTTATGGCATGATGTTTATATTATTTGTTCATTGTTGTAAATCCTATCCATGATGCATAATCTGTTATCCAGTGTGTGTGTTGTGTTGTCATGATTCCAACTTAAATTTTCCACGATTTATTGGCCCGAGACTGGTAACCCTTTCAGGTAAATCACCTCGCACATTTCCTCATAATCAATCGTTTGCTAGAACGATTAAAAGCAAACCAACCGTCCAGAATTATTGTTGTGAGCAGCAGTCTTCACAGTTGGTAAGTGTGCCTTTTTTTTTATCATTAAATTTGAAACATTTAAGTAGTATTTACACATACTTAAGTATTTGAGTAATATTTACACATTTGAAATATTTAAGTAATATTTACACATATTTAAGTAATATTCACTCATATTTTTTCCTCACCGGTAGAACAGAAAGCATGAAGATAATCGTCAGCTTCACCAATAACCTAGTCATAGATGATGAGATTTTTTTCAAACAGACGTACGTGAAAATACAGTTGCGTATTGTGTTCGTACGTGAGAGTACACGCAGTAGTAGCCAACCGGAGTACCATGTTTTGGCTTTTTGTAACAAATCATATATATGAAGATTAAACAATTTTTGAGCTAATTGTGACCCATACCTTATGGGCCGCAACGTAGCAAAATGGACACGGTTTAAAAATGTCTGATTTTTTACTCGAATTATAACTCAGTTTCTCCTATGTAAGTGTAAGAATGGCAATTTGAGGCACAAAATCGATTGGAGGGATATGATGGCGGAGCAAGAATACGATAAATATTTACAATTTTCGCGCACAAAATTGATGAACCATTTGACAACATTTGCGCTACATCGTCTCCTGGTAAGGCAGGGATGTCATTTTCGGGTCACTGCAAATGTTGTCGATTTGGGAAATATGGAACCACAACCGGCACGAAGAAACAGGTATGCATTTTGT